TTAATTGCGTTTGGACCGCTGGGGAGGAAACACAATCGGCGACAAAATTTGCTGAGACACTTTGCACTAAGGGGCCTTTCGGACGTTTTATAGACTACAAAAGGAAAAAATAAACCTTTTCCTCCCCCATCCCCTCCATGCATTGTTGTGCTGCTGTTCAAGCTACCTGTAGAAAAGAACAAATGTCCCAACTTTGAATTGAGGAAAGAGATGGGTGGTTGGATTGTTTTGTTCTCTGAAGTTACACTATTTGAGTACACTGTCTCTCAAAAGTTTTGTTGCCGATTGCAGCTCAAATACTCCAGTTTTTAAACATTCTTGCTGTTTAGAGTCCAAAAAGGATTTTTGTGAATCTTTTGATCTGAGTAGCTATGAGCAAAAAAACACAACGCTAATTGTAGGTTACTATGAGCAGAACAATGTAAGAGACAAATGAGTCCTCACCAATGCGGGCTATTTCCGAGTTGACTCAAGCCTCTGTTTCAAAGCGAGGCTAAGTGAAGAGCTATTGACAGATAATAATGATTTTTTATTCTAATGCAAATAAAACTCATTTTAACAAGAAAAGTTTTGCACTTTTTCGAAATTTGGAAAAGGCATTAATGGTCTACTGTACTGATTGTATAGTGTATGGCTCCCTTATTATTGTCACACTGAAATGGCATCGAATACTATTTCTGGATGACTCCAGGTTTTTTTAGGAGTATTACAGACTTAACTACGAAAGAGAGAGATTCCATGAAAGAGAAATATTGTAAAGCGAAATATTTTATATGCGTGTAACGAAGTATAAATTGCCAAGTAACAGTTTTATTTTCGATCGGATGTCTGATCATCAAACACATTTTCCTTAAATAAAATATTCTTGGGTCATATTCTTTTGTTTATATCATTATCTTGAATTGTTGCGAATAAAAGATATTTTTAGGCAGAATGTCATCACACACATTTTCTTAAAATAAAATTAACCTATTGCGTCGTGTCCTTTTGATCACATGATTTGTCAAAGGCTATATAATCAGTTGACGCCCCCTTCATATCATCATATCAAGATACGACTGAGTGAAACAGTTACAGTGAAGCGAAACAGAGAAGTTCTTCCTGCGTGAAAATACAGGTAGGCTAAATCTGATCAATTAGATCGTTTATTTAGTGAAAGGTTTTCTTACCTGTAACAAGCATATAATATTGTTCAATGCCATGTTATTTGTGCACTTTCTACACAAGCCACAGTATTACTGTTTTCAAAAAGTTTCCTGTTGTGTACATCATTTTTTTTTTATGTTTGCCGTGAGTGCATTGATAGGCTCACAAGCTGACGTAAGGTATTTTAGTTAATCATTTGGGACATGAACTGTTTTAGATAAATCTTGATCCTTATCTTCGTATTTCCAAGGCGCAAAAATCTTCAGCGCAACTTTTTCTCTATCACAAGCATTTGACTGATGTAGTTCGTCTTTTCCCCATTTAGCAAAAAACAAACAAAGATCAAAAGAAAAAAGAAAGAAAGAAATCCATGCGGATTTATTTAAGGCGGTCATTCCATCTTGGATCTGTGGTCTCTTAGAACAAATTTTAACCCACTGAAGGGCGAAGACATATAAGCTTCTCATAACATGCATATGGTTTCTCTTTTTCCTTCTCGAAAATCAGTTCAGCAGATACCACCCTTGCTTATTCCTCGCAATTCAACTTTCTTGCCATTTAATACATTTAATTAATGTTTCTTTTTTTTCACGGTAGTTCTGATGTTATTTATCAGAAGGGCGTACAAAACGTATACCACAGCAATGACGTGGATGATTTTATAGGGGCAAAGATCAAAACACCCAAAAATCCCTGGACCAAAAATCTAGTCCAGCTCACCTCCCCCGCCCCCCCCCCAAAAAGAAAACAAGAGCAGATAAGCATTCCTACTCATTACTCTCATACCCACCCACTACCTCGTCAACAATGACAGCACCACAGTCACAAACTGTGAAAGTCCCGTCAA